TTTTTTTTTTTTTTTTTAATTTATTTTTTTTGTCTTGAAGATTATTGGTCATTTTCTGCTTGCTTCCTTGGTCTTGCTTCAAGCTCAATCAATTGATCTCAACAATAAAGCGTCAACAACTTCGTTTTACTTGTTCATCTGGCAGGCAAGTTATTAAAGTTCCATTTCTACCCACCCACCCTCTTAAATTTGTCTTTGATATTCCTAACTTTACATTTTTACTGCAGTTATACTCTGTTGGGTGTTTCCTTGCACTGTTTGTTCGCTGAGAAGATCTGAAAGTTTGAAGTGTCTTTGACCTCTCTGTCAATCTATGTCAATTATCTTTTTTTTTTTTTTTTGAAAAGCAAAGGAATTTTATTATGTGAGTACAATAAGTACTCAAATCCATTGACATCGTTTCATAAAGTTATATATAGAAAGTGGGTCAAAATACAAAATCATAGAGCAATCCAAAAAAGAAACCTAGAATCCAGCTCCTCAACTAAACTCTATTTCCTATATTGTCAAGTATCTTACTCGATTGGAAATCCATTCTATGAAAGAAAAATTTTCTAAGTTCAACAGGATTCTAATCCAATGAAATGAACAAGTTTGTACAAGTTCAATTCAAACAGCTTGTCCTCATTTACCTTCTTATATTGAAAAACAGTTTCATTTCTACTCAACCATAATGACCACACTATGGTAAATCATAACATGTTCCAACCCTTTTTCAGAATTTTTGAGTCTTAGGCCACCTGTGGTGGTTGAAAACATCAAGATAAGTATTCTCGAGAACATAACATAATTCCCACCAATTAAGACATTTTGTCCATAATTTGAATGAGATATTGCAAGACACAAAAAGATGATCTATATGTTCAGGAAATTGATCACACCAAAAACATTTTATACTTTGGTTGATATCTAGAATTCTCCGCCTCGTCAAATTAACCTTTGTAGGAATTCTATTTAGAAGCAACTGCCATGAAAAAACACTCACTTTTGATGGTACTTGCCCACTCCATATGTGTCAGTACTCCAGCAGCCTATTTTCTTGATTTGAGTATAAAACATGGAAGAGGAATGGGAAAATAAACATTACGAATGAGAGAGTATACTTTTGTTTTGTTGTAAAGCATGTTTGCAATAGTTGTTCAGATCTAATAACAAATATTTAACAATTTATAATTATTGTTGCCTACATTTCAAAGCAATTAATTTATTTGATCAAAATTAATTAATAATTACTTCTGAAAAGCTAAAATAAATACCATTTTATAACAAAAATTTTTATGATTACTTCTTTTTATCAAAAAAATAAGTCTGAAATATATATTATAATAGAACCATTACTGTCTAGGGTAGCAAACGCCTACATGGTCAGCAATATACAAAAGGTCCACACTGGGTGGGCAGTCATACAAAATATAAAGTCCATTGGAAGAATTTTTATAATTGAGAAATAATTGATACACATTTATTTTAACATATTTTTTTAATATTTATTTGGTTTAGTTATTAAAAATATAATGCAATATAATTGATTCTTATATCATGTATGCATAATTATATATTTAAATTTGTCTGTTTTTAATCTCATAATAACAAATAATAATTTTTTGATAAGTGTATTATATAATATATTGAATCGAAACATATATATCAATTTGGTTTTTTTTTCATAATATTTTATTGAAGTAACATAATTTTGAAATATTTTTTTATTAATTTTTTAATTCCTAACACCAAAAGCATTGAAATCTAAAAAATTTATTTGTAAAATAAACCACAAAAAGTCTCTAAATATTAACAAAATGATCAGACCCAAAATTTTCAAGAAATGGAGTTGCAAAATATCCACTTAGAATCAAACCAGTGAATGCATTTACAAAATTAAAAGAAGACAGTTATGGTTATTATTGATCTATTGTTACTTTGTTAGACAGCGCTAAAACTTAATTACTTAGGTTTAGTAAGTTCAGCATCCCTTGCTAAAACTTAATTATTTAGGTATCCCTATGCTAAAACTTGCGGTGTTGCCCGTATTTAGACTCAACCGAATCCTTTCTTTATAAAATAAAAATATCGTACTACTCAAATCATCAAATGGTTTTACAAAAGAGAGATAAAAGACAGTTACAATGCTTTCATTGAATTCATGCTCACATTCTTCCCCTCACCTTCTATATCGTGGTATGCTTAATTCTCTCGGTTCCTTTGATCTCTTATCTCAAATTTACTATTGACGATTTTATAATTATAATATTATATAAAATTATAAGTTTACAATCATAATATAATATTTAATTAATATATCACGACATTAGATAAATTGATATATATATAATATTACGGGTGAACGCTTGAATAAAAAAGGTAAATTATATAATGACATAGGATAATAATTTGCATACTTTTTAATTTAACACATATATCAATACTTGTCGATTTAATTAGTAAATTTTGTAAGTGAAATTTTTATCACAATGAATTCAGATTTAAAAATAATAATTTTTTAATAAGTGTGTTGTGAAATATATTGAATAAAAAAATGTATCAATTATTATCCAATGACATGATGTTGTAAAATTATAATTATAGCATTCTTGTTTACTATCTTGAAAACATTTAATTTTATTTGATCTTTTATTTATTTATTTATTTATTTATTTCTTTTAATTTTTGAGAATATATATTTTGAGTTCCCTTTTTGCAATTCAAATTGCACCATTTAGACGCAAAAAGAGACCATTGAATTGAAAAATCTCCAACGTTCAGTCTCTATCCAATCCAGATTAATTTAATTTGTTCAGTTTGACACAAAATAAAACGTTTCTATTATAATTTACTGAGGTTAGGTAGAGCTATTTTTCTGTAGAGGTTGAGAATTTTTTTTATTCAAATCCAAATTCCTATTGGAAAAGCATTTTTAGAAGTCTCTATGTAAAAAATTGTTCTATTGAAGTACTATTTGGGTAAACTTTTTGTAGGAATGTTGAATGGAGTGTTTGGTGCGGTTTAGATTTTGCTCTTTTAGGACATTTAGTTTTATTTTTCTAAGAACCCGATCACTCAATTCATTTCACACGCAACTCTGAGGAAGGATTAGTCAAAAAAAAAAAAAAAAAAGTGGACAGACAAGCTAGGTCCTGGCCTTTAAATATTTGAGAAAATTTGTAAATAATGATTCAATTTTACTTTTTTTTATTTAAAAATATTGATTTTGTTAATTTTTAAATAAGAATATTGACTTTTAATTTTTTTTATTTAAAAATTTTAACTTTCAATTTTTTTTATTTAAAGATGTTAACTTTTTATATTAGATCAAAAAATCCATTTGCCACATTAATACTATCTAATTAATTTTTAAATAAAAAATATAAAATTAATATCCTTATTTATCCATTTTTCTCTTAAGTACTTCATATTAAAAAATAATAGGTATAATAATACAGTAACCAATAATTATTAAAGATAGAAAAATGCAATGCCGGAGCGGATTTCTAGGCCTCATTGGGCCACTCTTCAACTCAGGGAACAACTATTTTGCAGTCGGCCCATGGCTTGCATGCCTTCTTATGAGGTGATGCTATGGGAATTCTACTTCCCAGAACTTAGTTTTTCTTAATCTGCTCAGTTGTACACATGTACCAAAAAAATTTAAAACAGAAAAAAAAAAATTCATACTATATTATGGGAACAATTAGAGTGCTTTTTCATCAATCCCAGAATATGTAGGTTTTCAGGAAGAATCGAAAGATCTAAAGCACTTCAAGTTGCTCTGAAGCCTACAAACAGAACCTTAAACGAAGGCAAGTCTGGAAAGTTGGAGCATGTGGTTTGCAGGGATTGTAAAAGAATGATTGGATTGCCAATGGGAGTGATAAATCCTTCAGGGAAAAAAAATACGCTCGTGTTGCTTTAGAAAATGCATATGCATCAGAATCTGAGGAGAAGGAGGAGGACGAGGATTCTACCAAGTCTCAAAACGAAACTTCGGAAGAAACTTAAAGCACTTTACACGTTTACTCATCCTTAGGCTGTCGTTGGAGCTGTGAGTTTTATCCTTAAATTCAAATTTTTTGGGACATATGAATGTCTTTTACAAATGGCAGGTCATTTTGTAATGGAAATTTTCCAATTCTATCTTCAAGTTGCAACAGCAACTTCGACTAATATTGATTCAAATAAAAGGAGTTTAGTTTCTTTTAAATAACATTTCAAATTCAAGTTTTATAAATGAAGAAATTTGTATTAGAAGAACTTTCTTCTTATGGGATCCGATACTTCTCGACTCCAAATTAATAAGAGTACAATGTAACTTTTGGATATTCAGGGGATAGTACCAGTAAAAAAGCAACGTCGGCTTCTCTACTTCCAGTGCAAACAAATTAAAGAGCTCTCAATTGCACTTTTTATGAGGTTATTGAAGGTATTATTTGGAAACTCACATTTAATTAAGTTAAGGGCATTTTAACTTTTAAGTAACCAATTCTATAATTTTTTGCCCCTAGGTGGGAGTGGGCAGTCACTTTTATGAACATTTATGTTGCAGGTGTGAACCAGTTATATGACATTGTAACAGACAAGGTATTTGTACTTTGTGGAGCGACGAATCAAAATTTTTGTTGAAGCAGATTTCGT